CTTATCCACATTTCCTTTTCTAATTGTTTCTTGTCTTGTTTTTCCTTTTAGGGAAAGAAGGCAGCACAGCACCGAAATTTCAGGTGTACACAGCTGGAATAATTACAGCGAGCACCAAGTCATAACATCTTGCCAATGTATCACTTAGTAATTGGATATATACAGTAGAATTAACATTGAGGACTTGAAATTTCTTGTTATTTAATATCCTTCAGGGACATGTTTACAGAATTTCATGCTTATGCTCGACAGATGTTTGGTGGTTCAGGAAGGAATAATGAAAAATTCAGATATGTAAACAAAGATCTTAGTTACTCAATAAATCAGAAAGGAAATAAGTTTCCCAAGAATACCAAGTAAAATCAGCAGAAAAGGACCCAGAGCATTTGGCATTTCTATTTTTTCTTTTTTTTCGTTTGGCTCTGTCACTCACTCTAGAGTCAGTGGTGCAATCTCGACTCACTGCAAGCTCTGCCTCCCAGGTTCAAGCAATTCTCCTGCTTCAGCTTCCTGAGTAGCTGGGACTACAGGCGCCGGCCACCATGCCTGGCTAATTATTTGTATTTTTAGTAGAGATGGGGTTTCACTGTGTTAGCCAGGATAGTCTTGATCTCCTGACCTCAAGATCCGCCCACCTTAGCCTCCCAAAGTGCTGGGATTACAGGCGTGAGCCACCGCGCCCAGCTTGGCATTTCTTTTACATCTTTTATTTGCTTGTATATAAATCCCTAGGTCTATATTAGTTTCTCTGGATTCTTGACATCCAAGCCAGTGTTTATTTGTGAGGCAGCAATAATAAACACTCAGGTAGAGTGTTTCAAAGGTAGAAGTAGCAGTTATAGGATTCACATAATGGAAGTGATTTCAGTGGAAAGACCTACTCATAACAAGGACAAAATGAATGGGCATTGTGGTTTGTTAATGAGGGTTTTGCACATTTGAGTATGTGAACCATTTCTTTGAATTAGGGTTGCTCAACTCTTCCTGCTCAAATGAATCAATGCTGAAGCCTAAAAATATCCAAATTTCTGGCACCATTCCCCAGAGATTCTGAATTAATTGGCCTTAAGTTGGGCCTATACATATGCATTTTTTAAAAAACTATTGGCTTTGAGACACAATCCATTTGGGAAAATATAATCTCAAGCCTGACTTCACCAAAACCTAATAAAACAAAAGCCAGAAAACGGGTTCAGAACCCATCAGGTTATGGCGGCTCCTTTAAGATTTAACTTGTACCACTGAATTAGCCTTAACCATTTCTTTCATTATTAATTTTAATATCCCAACAGCATTGGTTTGAGGCATTGCATGTTCTTTGAAATTTGAGCTACTTCTACAAGCCCTCCTTGGTGACTTGATGTACTGAGAACTTGTCCATTTGCTTAGCAGTGGTTGTTGAACCTTGTATGTGGAATGCACTTAAGTATGTGGCTTCATTCATTGAGCGGGACATGAGATATTCTGAAGTTTCCTGTGGTTAGCTCTTTATCTCAAATGGAAACGGATAATATTACTATTTACTTTTCCTACTGTGGTGTTCTTTTATTTTTATGTTACTTCAGGATGGTTCTGAGATACCAAAATGAGTAAGATATGGTTTCACTAATGCAACCAAGATTAACTAGGTGAATAGCAATTACATTTTATTGAATGAAACACAGCTTAATTAGGTTAGGCCAAGGAAGGCTATTTCCTCACCAATGTGCACACCTTGAGGGAAGGACAAAATATTAAAGATAACTAGAATTTGCGATTCTAACACCCCCTGAAGCTCTCCATCTCTCTTCTCTGCATGTCAACTCTAATCCTTAGATAGACTTTTTTTCACAAAGACTGGAATGTTGTTTCCATCAACCTTCAGGGTCACATTTATCTTCTGAGGAATGGAAACTCATTTTTTTTGAACCTGGGATCCTAGGGCTAAATGGCCAAACTTGGGTCAAGGGCCATCCCCAAAGAACTGTGGCTAGGGAGGTGGGATCCTGACAAAACAGCATTTGTCTTTGGATTGTAGAGGCAGAATAAATGTTTCCTAGGAAGGGGAAGGGAATGTAACTTCAGGAATTTAAAAAAAAAAAAAAATCAGATGGATACCCAGTACAGACATTGCTTTCTGGTTCCAATTGCTGTTGGAGGTGGAGGGTTTCTCCTCATGAGACATGGCTCCCCAGTCTTGCAGAGTTGAACTTAGGACTTTTTCAGACCCACCTCTCATGTCACCCTCTCATTAAGACTTTATTGACTATACCACCCCCAACCACCCACACACTGTTGGCTTCACCTTCCACTGTGATGCTGTAACATGAAGTAATAAGCCATGATTACAGTGTGCTGCCAACTGTTGTGTTTTCCAGAAGACCATAAGAAAAACGTTGATCCAACTTACTGCAGTAAAGGTAAATACAACATTGACAGTTTTAGTAGTGTCTCAGAAAGGAACTCAGGGAGGATATTTATAGGGTTTAGGTCTTAGATTGAGTGAATTTCAGGTAGGTTTTGCAAGACAGCAAACTGTTTGGGTTTGGCAGAGTTCATGACATAATATCTTTGAATTGTTGGGACACAGGGAGATGAAGGAGTTGAAACAAGTCTTCTAGAGCAAGCTGGTTGACATAGGTAAGTAAGCCTCTTTGGTTAGTTACAGCCTTGTCTATTAGGAGCAAGTATTTCTTAAAGCAAGTAGTTAAGTCATTTTTGCTTATTTTCAGCATGGCTTAAACATAGAGAAAGTAAAGTATACTATATTCCAATATTATTTAGTACACAGAGAGGAAAGTATTTGGCTTCAGTTATCGATAATGCATTTTAATCGTTAACTTTTTATCTGTTGGTATATAGGAATGACCAAGGGTCATTGAGTCACATGTAAGAAAAATGTTATTTTATCTTTTAATAATTCTGATTACATCAGTGAGAAAGTTAATCATATTTCCATTTAAATCATCTCACATCCAAAATCACCTTGCATATTTCTGATAGTACGGTTTTCACATTTTCAAATATACCATCAATATTTCCCAGTGGGAATCAACGAGTTCAGGGTAGAGCAGAATTTGCTATCTCTTACTCTGATGTTAGTTCCTTATTTAAAACAGCTGCAGAAAATATAGATTATGAAGGTTCGGTTAATAAAAGACAAATGTGACTAATGATGAAGCCTGAAAAAAAATTTAATGTCTTTTCCACACTTTTGAAATTCTGGATTACTTTTCTTTTATTCAATACCTTTTTATTTTCTAGAGAAAATGGAAAGTGAAACCCAAGTCAGTTAAAGTAATGTAAGTCCAATTGTGTTCCGTGTTAGAAAATTGAAAAGTTGGCACTTTTAGTGCCTGAATTCCTTCAGACGTTAAGCTCCAAACTTCTGCTTTCTGAAGAAAATTAAGTTAATGTATCCTTAATGGAATAAATGCAATTCTCAATAGTGAATAAATTTCACATTATGATTTCTTTAGGGAAATCCTTGTTTCAATTTTATAAGCAGAAGAAAGGAAAGGAAATGTTAAAATCTGTGGAAAAGTTGTAGATTCCTGGAGCCACTTTTATTTCATGATTGTGAAAGTTAAATCATAATTGTATTGCAAATAAAAACATTTCTAGAATAATACTTTCTAGAGAAGTCTCTAAACAACAAAAGAACCCCCAAAACACAAACCCACAACTTCCTTTTGGCTTCATTACTATTTGGATATTACCCTAATTGTGAAGAAAAAACCCCGCCCTTCTCCTGAAGTATAAAGTAGGCCTCCTTTCTCCCTTGGGGCATTACTCTTGGTTGGGGAAGGATATCTCAATTCATAAATCTTTACACACTGAGGGTATGTGGACATCACAGTAGCAAAGTTTTGGTCTGGGCCAGGCATGAATGTGAAATAGATGTATATTGTGTCCCCCCAGACTCTAGCTTCCTGATATTCCAGCCCATAGACTCTCTCTGGGCTTCACTCTGGTGACCAATGGCACATTTTCCATTAAAACCTCGACAAATCTGAGACTCATTGATACTGAAGGGTGAGTCTAGGCATTCAAATCCAGGATTTCAGGATGTTCTGTGCAGAAACCCCATAACCCTGACTATTCCAAGTGGATTCAAAATAGATAAAATACACTTTTTTTTTTTTTTAGAAAAACCATTTTCAACTTACATCATTTTTTTCTTATTAATGAAAAACAACAACAACAAAAAACAGTTTTTGGTTTAAACATATTTGTGTTCTCTTTGTAAAAAACATTAAATAACAAAAGGATAAAATCCTGACAGTCCTCATTACACTTCCCTCTCTTCATTCTTCCAACCCATTCTTTCTAAGACATACTTTGAAACTTCCTAGTTAACTTCAGAAGCAATCTCAGAATCGTGTTCTTGCTGAGCAAGGGTGACCTCTCATCTCTCATGTTTCCTCTTAACCTTTTAATAAACTTTCATCAGTGTAAGTAATTGTAACATATCTCTTCACAGACAGCCTGAAGAAGCTAGCAGGCTGAAGCAATGGATTGATTGAACTTAACCACTCAAGCTAGGAGTACTTTTACTGGCGGGTGATATACATATATGTAATATAAAATCTCAACCTGAGTACATGTCCATACAAACCAAACAAAAAATAAGCCATGCATGTATGAATAGTCTATGCTTTCCAAGTTCTTCACTATGATCTATGTACTAAAAATCACATCTTCATTTTTGTTGCCTGCTCCACTTCCCCATCATGCCCTTTCTAGAAGTTGCTGGATAAAACTCCTGCTGCCTTTAGCATCAGGGGTGCCTTACTTTCTCTCTTATCGGGTTTCCCCCAGGACTTTGCTCCTCCTTGGGCATTTTCGCTGGTTCTCTGCAGGCTGCCTCTGAGAAATTGGGAAACTTGGAGCCAAATGGCGAGTCCTCTGCCCAAGTAGTAAAAGTGATCGCAGCTCGGCCTCCAGCAAAGACTGCCGCTGGTTTCTGAGAAATTCTGACTTCCTAAGTTCATTTGGCAGACAGCGGCTTCTCTGAAACAAAACAAAGCCAGCAAACAGCTGGAGCGTCTCTGGACACTCACATTAAAACTTGTGAAGAGTTAAAAGCCCCAGGGAAGAACCCGGCCAAGGGCACGGGTCAGCGCCGGCTTAAAAGAGTCTCTCAGCGCACGCGGCGTTTGCTCGGGGCACCCACCTGAAGCTGCGCAGCGCGGGCCTGGGCTTCCGGCGCGCGCTACATACAACCGCGCCGCGGGCGCCTGAGAGGCGCGCGGTTACTGCGCTCTGGCGCGGCCTCTTTTGGAGAGTTGGGGTGGTTTCCAGGGTCCGGAGTGTCCCCTGACCCCGGGAAAGCTGAGTAAGTATGGGGTACCGGAACTTGGGGCCTCAGGCAGGCGAGGGAGGAAACCTCGGGTAGACAGGTGGATGTAAGGATTCTCCTTTCTGGTAATTTGCACCTGTTGACGCCCTCAAATCTGGGCTCCAAGGAATTTTACAGATGGTTGAGACAGGTTCTGAAAGGTAGACTCAGAATTCAAATGAACCTTAGAGCAGTGCTATCCTAAGTGTGGTGGAAGGACTAATACATCGCCTTCCCCTGGAAACTTGTTAGAAATGCAAATTCCTGGACCCCACCAAACCCTGTAGAACCCAATCCCTTCTTACTCAAAGTGTTTTCTGAGAACCAGCATTCTCTAGGGGCTTATTAAAAATGCAGAACTCAGGGCTCACTCCAAAGCTGCTGAATCAGAGTCTACATTTTAATAAGATGCCCAGGTAATTCATATGCACGTTAAAGCTTGAGAAACACTTTCTTAATTAACCACTTCCTAAAAGAGCCACTTCCTAGAAGTACTACTTGAAGAGTCACGTAGCCCAGAGCTTCCCAGCTGGTGTGCTTCGTGAGAACTATGATAGGCTGAGCCATTGATCTCTGTAGCCTGGGACTCTGGGATGGAAGGCCATGGGCTAAGAACCTGAATAATATTGTCATTTCCTGTGTATTCCACCATCTATACCTGTGCTATCCAAGAGGGTAGCCACTCACCATATTGGCTACTGACCATTTGAAATGTAACTAGACTGAGTTGAGATATGCTATAGAAGTAAAATACACAGCAGATTTTGAGGACTTAGTATTAAAAAAAAGTAAAATATTTCATTAATTTTTATATTGGTTATACATTGAAATTGTAATACTTTAGATATATTGGGTTAAGTAAAATATTTAATTAATTTCATCTTTTTTTTTTTTTTTACTTTTGTTAATGTGCTACCAAAAAAGTTAAAATTACATACACAGTTTGCATTGTGTTTCTACCCAATGGTGCTGATGTGGATTGCTTTAGATGGCAAAAAGAAGAATCAAAATTAAAAACCTAGAATAGATACAAACTGGGAGTGCACATTAATTCTATTTAAATTCAAAAATAAACTTGAAATAACTGTGATATTATAATCACAAAGCAAGAATTACACTTCTTGAAAGAAAAGCTACAATATAAAAATCCCTAAAGTTTAAAAGATAATTTCATGATAATAGATTGAGAGATTCTTCTTGCCCCTATAAAATGCAAACAAAAATTTAAAGAAGAGAAAGGAAATGTAAGCAGACTAAATTTTATCTTTCATAGGTGGAAGTTATCAATATTATTTTATTTCTAAAGTTGATAAATTTGGAAATATAAGTTAAAACATTTTATTTATAAATTATTTTACGAGTTTACCCTAAGTAAAAATTAAAGAGAGATATATACACCTCTCAAATACTTAGGGTAAACTAGCAAAATTATATATATACACACACACACACACACAGACACTTAGGGTAAACTAGTAAAATAATATATATATGTGTGTGTGTATATATATGTATATATAATATATATACACACACCCACACACATAAAGTTAATGATTAATGAAAGGGAAATAGACAATGAAAAGAAACATAAGGCAAAGTAAGTTAAACAAATCATGTAGTAGTGGAAAGTAAAGAATAATTTATTTAAAAGAGATGAAAGTAAGCCCAAACATATATTTTATAATATAAAATAAAAAGAGTTTAAGTCCTTATCTTAAAAAAAATCACAGATTTGATCAAAAAGCTGAATCCAACCACACACTGTCTACAATAGATACAACTGAAACAAAATAGATTTGATAATTGACATTAAGTTGCTTGTAAAAGACACACCACCCAAGAAGAAACAGGGTTTATGATATTATATCAGAAAATGTTGAGGTCAATAAAAACTATATTAAATGAGGTGTAGTGCATACTTTTTTCTACCCGCTCTTCCTTTTTTCGCATCTTCTTTTTTCAACCGAGATTTATGAAGTGTTAACTATTGACCGGGTACCCACAGAGATTGAGGATACAACAGTGGGCCAAAGCAGACAGTCATGGTGCAAGTGATAATCAAAAGTCAGATAATAATGGTAAACAAGTTATGAATATGTTCCACATTGAAGAGATAACTGTCATAAACCTTATGAAATAACTAGCATAGTGTAGAAATGCATGAAGCAGAAACTGCAGGAAATAAGAGAATTGATGAAAATATAGTTGTAGGGGAAATGTTGAGACATTCATATTAGTCCTTGAGAGTTAAGATAGGCAAAAATAAATAAAGATTAGTCTATTAGTATAGACTAGTAATGAACTCTATCATCAGGAGCAAATGTGATTTCTAGCATTAAGCATTTCAAAAACTGAGCATTATATTAGGTCAGTAGAAAAGTAATTGTGGTTTTGCCAGTAAAAGTAATAGCAAAAACCTCAATTACTTTTGCACTGATCTAATATATACTAGGTTATATATAGGGGAAACTTTGACATATTCCAGGAAAGAGTACAGAGTACATTCTCTAACCACAATGCATTAAAACCAAAAGTAACTAATAAAAGAGCTGCATTCACACTGAAAAATAAAACAACCCCAATAAAACAACCAAATCAAAATAGAAAATCTCTTGATTTTCAATTGAAGAAATAAAAAATGCAGTCACTTGAAAAATTTCAAACCATAATTGAGGAATATCTGGCCTGTAGTAATGATGAGCATGCTTCATATCAAAGCTGATGCTGTACTCAGGAAAATGCATTACCTCAAAAAGCTCTCATTACTAAATAAGAAAGAATAGAAGTGGATTAATCATTCAATTCAACAAGTTAGGGGGAAGGCAAAACAAACTTATGTAAAATAGAATGAAGTAAAAATAAAGACAGAAAATTGAGAATTAAGACAAAGAATAACAATAGAATTGAGTAATAAATGAAAAACATCTTTTGGGAAAAACGCACAGTAAACAGGATAAAATACTAGTTACCATAATCCAGACCAAAAAGGAAGAATGAAAATAAATGTATAGCACTAGGAATGAGAAATTTGACATAACCCTAGAGAGTAGAAAAAAGGGGTAATAGTTTATATGACTTTATCATAAACAATTGGAAACCAGGATGAAATGGAAAATGATAGGAGGGCACATGAATGATAATTGCAACATCTAGCTAAAGAAGCAATAGAAAATCTAAGTGGCCAGTAACCTGGAAGGAACTGAGAATTGCTGCAAGCTAACACTTTTGGCCTTGTCAGTACATGGGTAATTCCTTTCAAAACTCCCAATAACTGGCAATTGCTCTGTCACTTAAAATGTTTAGAACAAAGATAAAGAAGAAAAGCTTCCAGATCATTCTTATGAATCCAGCATGATTGATACCTGACAAAGATAGCTCACACACACACAAAAATAGGCATTCTCACCTTTGAACAATAACGCAAAATTCCCGAATCAAATATTAGCAAGTAAAATTCAACAGCACGTAAAAGGAAATGTAGGATAATGAAGTGGAATTTATTTTAGAAAAGCAAAAATCATTCAATATTAATAAATCTAATAAATTATTCACCAATATTTTGTAAATAAAGTTCAACATATGGTTATATTTGAAAAGAAAAAGCATATGTGATCATTGTAGTAGATGCTGAAAAGGTATTGGGTAAGGTAAAATTTAGCAGCCATTCTTGATTTTCTTAAATCTTAGGTTAAAATAAGAAATATTTTAACATAATCAGAAATATATATTATAAACCAACTGCCATGATGACATGTGTAATGAAGAAAACACTTAAAATATTACCATTAACTGGCCGGGCATGGTGGCTTATGCCTGTAATCCCAGCACTTTGGGAGGCCGAGGCAGGCGGATCACGAGGTCAGGAGATCGAGACCATCTTGGCTAACACAGCGAAACTCCATCTCTACTAAACAAAATACAAAAAAATTAGCCGGGCATGGTGGCAGGCACCTGTAGTCCCAGCTATTCGGGAGGCTGAGGCAGGAGAATGGCATGAACCCGGGAGGTGGAGCTTGCAGTGAGCCGAGATCGTGCCACTGCACTCCAGCCTGGGCGGCAGAGTGAGACTCCATCTCAAAACAACAACAACAACAACAACAAAAATTACGATTAAATTAGGAACATTATCAACACCACTCTTTAACATTGTTGAAGTTCTGGTCAATGTAATAATATAAGATATATACATTGAGAGAGGAGAAATCAAAACTATTATTTTTATTTAAAGTGAGAATATACTGGAAAAGTCTAAGCAAGCCAACAAGAAAGTTCAGCAAAGTGGTCAATAGAAATAATTTAATAACATGAGTAAGAGAAAAGGTTCAACTTACAATAGCAACAGATATAAAACATCTAGGACTGTGTATATTAATAATAAGAGCACGTAAAAATAAATAAATACAAAGACAAGCACTCACAGGCAAAATGGTCAAAAATCTTAAGTGTACAGTTAATAGAAAAATACCTTTCCCAATCTCACTAGTAATTATAGAAATGCAAATTCAAAGAGCCATATGGTAATGTGGAGTTTCTTCCCCTCAATCAGGATTCCAAAACTTCAAAAGTATGTTGTGAGAGTGTGGGGAAATAAGGACTTCCATATGTTCCTGAGGGAAAATATGATTTGGCACACCTTTTTGCTGCAGTTGCCTAATATTGACCATAATTTTAGATATACATTCCTTTTGACCCCAAATTTCCATTCCCAATAAGTGATCCTTTAGAAATATAATACTTCTTCCACTGTGCAATGCTGTTTATTGCAACATTGTTTGGAATTGTGAAAAAATTGGAAACAACCTAAATATCTATTTATAAATAATTAGTTAAATAAACATTGATATAAAGGAATACTATGCAGCTGTTAAGATGAATGAAGTAGATCAAGAGTGATATTAAAAATAGTTAACAATGACTACGCATTGACCAATCAGAATGGATGTTGATTTCAACTAGTATGGTCAATCCAGTCTGACAATTTTTAAGGACTTTCA